TGCCTTGTTAATTGATGGTAATGTTCCATACACATTCTGGGGTGATGCTATACTTACTGCATGCTATCTCATTAATCGTATGCCATCATTTGTTCTCAATCATAAGGTACCTCACTATATTTTATTTCCCCATCAAGCTGTATATCCTTTAACTCTACATGTGTTTGGTTCTACGTGTTTTGTTCATCATCTTGGTCCAAGTTTGGATAAATTAGCTCCCAAGTCTCATAAATGTGTTTTTCTGGGTTATCCTCGGTCTCAGAAGGGTTACCGTTGCTACTCTCCCACTTTACGTCGATACTTTATCTCGGCGGATGTCTCCTTTTTTGAATCAGTTCCCTTTTTTGGAACCTCTACTACTCCTGTGGATACTAATTCTGTACAGTCGTCCTTCCCAAGTGACCTTCTTTACCTTCCGTCTTTACCCGTCCATGTTTCTGACTCTCCTTCTATCACCTCTTCTGCTGATGAGATTGAGCATAGTTCGTCAGATGTATCTGTGGACTCACATTCAACTGCATCTCCTCCCACGGCTTCGGTCCCACCTTCGGATAGTGACCTTCCCATTGCTCTTCGTAAGGGTACTCGTGATACTCGCCCTCCGGCCAAGTATACAGTCAATATTAGTTATCATCGTCTTTCTCCATCATATTTTGCTTGCCTTTTCTTTTTGTCCTCTGTATCTGTTCCTAAGACCACAGGTGATGCACTTTCACATTCGGGATGGAGACAAGCTATGATTGATGAAATGAGTGATCTTCATCATAATGGCACATGGGACCTGGTGCCTCTTCCTTCTGAAAAATCTGTGGTTGGTTGCAGATGGATTTATACTGTTAAGGTTGGACCTGATGGTCAAGTGGATCGTCTTAAATCTCGCTTGGTGGCGAAGGGTTTCACTCAGGTCTTTGGCTTGGATTTTATTGATACTTTTTCTCCTGTGGCGAAAATGTCTACTGTTCGCCTTTTTATTGCCATGGCTGCTATTAGCAATTGGCCTCTCTACCAACTGGATATCAAGAATGCTTTTCTTCATGGTGATCTTGAGGAAGAAATATATATGGAGCAACCTCCTGGATTTGTTGCTCAGGGGGAGTCAGGTCTTGTTTGTCGTCTTCGTAAGTCTCTCTATGGCCTCAAACAATCTCCAAGAGCTTGGTTTGGTAAATTTAGCAGCGTTGTTCAACAATTTGGCATGACTCAGAGTGCAGCTGATCATTCTCTCTTTTATCGTCATTCTGCTTCTGGATCTATTTATCTGGTGGTATATGTGGATGATATTATCATCACAGGCAGTGATCAGCATGAGATCACTCGATTGAAACAACACTTATGTCATCATTTTCAGACTAAGGATCTTGGGAAACTTCGATACTTCTTAGGAATCGAGGTGGCCCAATCTAAAGCTGGTGTTGTGATATCTCAGAGGAAATATGCTCTGGATATTCTTGAAGAAACTGCTCTGTTAAATTCAAAGTCTGTTGATACTCTTATGGATCCAAGTATCAAGCTTCTACCAAATCAGGGGGAGCCCTTTCAGATCCTAAGCAGTATAGAAGATTGGTTGGAAAATTGAACTACCTCACGGTCACTCGGCCTGATATTTCCTTTGCAGTCAGTGTTATCAGTCAATTTCTCAATTCTCCATGTCAAGAACATTGGAATGCAGTCATTCGTATTCTTAAGTATATCAAGGCATCTCCAGGGAAAGGCCTTGAATATGAAGATAAAGGTCATGATAAAGTGGTTGGGTACTGTGATGCTGATTGGGCTGGTTGTCCAACTGATAGGAGATCTACTTCTGGGTATTGTGTCTTTGTTGGAGGCAACTTGATTTCCTGGAAAAGTAAGAAACAAAGCGTAGTTGCCAGATCAAGTGTTGAAGCAGAATACCGCTCCATGGCGACTACTACTTGCGAGCTCATCTGGCTTAAACAGCTTCGTAGAGAACTTAAGTTTGGAGACACTGGACAGGAAACTCTCATTTGTGATAATCAAGCAGCTCTACACATTTCATCAAATCCAGTGTTTTATGAAAGAACCAAGCATATAGAAATAGATTGCCACTTTGTTCGAGAAAAGGTTCTTGCTGGTGAAATTAAAACTAGCTTTGTACCCTCTAATGAGCAATTAGCAGATGTGTTTACAAAATCTTTGAGGGGCCCTCGAATAGAGTTTATATGTAACAAGCTTGGTGCATATGACCTATACGCTCCAGCTTGAGGGGGAGTGTTAGAAATATATTGTAATTAGGGTTTCCTTATTTTGTAATTAGGGTTTCCTTATTTTGTATTAGGTCAGATTACATTAGGTTTGGGCTTAGCCCATTAGTCTATTTATATATTGTACAACCTTCATCAGTCAATACACATAGATTATTTCAATGTTCCTCTATTTTCTTGTTATTTAACAAACTGAATCTTGTATACAAATTCTTGCCTACTATAGCTGGTTTAATACTCTGTAACCTGGTAAATCTGCTTGACTTGCAATACCAATCAATAATCACAATCATAATATTCACTGCAATCATCAATCATAAATTAAAAAAAAAGAAGAGAAAATGTTGAAAAATGAATTACAAGCGACAGCGAGGGTAAAAATCTTTTTGATCTTAAGGTTAATTTTATAAATTCGGTACATAATTTCAATAATATTTTACAATTAATCAAATATAATATTTGAAAAATTGGCTTAACATTTCTGAGAATACTTTGGTCCAATGTTATAAAACCGGATCGACCCAGCCAGGTCGACCCAGAAACCGGTGAACCGGTCATGTAACCGGTCCGGTTTTCATATTGGACCGGCCATGTTACAGAACCGGTGTGACCCGACCGGTTTTCATAAAAACCGGTGACCCGGTCGGTTCAACCGGTGACCCGGCCCGATCTATAAAAAAAAAATTAATTTATTTTCATAAATTAATGTCTTCTTTTTTTTACTCTCATACACAAATGATTTGTTTTCTTTTGAAATATTTGAGTGATTTGTAGTTTTTTTTTTTTTTTGGTATCCGATTTGTAGCTTATTAACTTACATAGATGATGTACCTACAACACTAATATTATCTTGATTATGCAATATGCAAGGGATTTTGATTTGATTTATAGTTAGAGATGTCGTTTACTGAACTTGAAACCCTAGTATCACAAATATTATATGTTTGATTGATCTTTTGTTGGATAATGATATGAAATTTATTATTTTCATATTAAAATATTTGAAATTGGTATATTTTTTTACAAGTATTTAAGTATATTTATAGTTTTTTTAATATAAATTATAGATTTACATATACAACCGGGTCATGCGGTTGAACCAGTGACCCACTGGTTGAATCAGTAATCCAGTGACCCAATACCTCGACCGGGTCAATAACCGGGCCGAGTTTAATAACATTGCTTTGGTCTATCAAAACATTTCCAAAAAATTAACTTTTGGAGCATATTCCTAGAAATAATAATTTTTGGATAAAAAAAATTTGTGCTCTACCAAATCCCCTGAAATACTAAGTAGCACCACATAACAGTGACCAGACTGCCATATTTTTTGGCAATTTTTTATCAATCTATCACACGAACAATATTTTTTACCAGACTGCCACACGTTGAAGTTCTCTACGACTGGTAATGAACTTGCTAACCAATAATTTCGTGATACGTGGCACAATTTCGTAGGTGTCCAAGTTCGCTACAACTGATAGTGAACTTGGTAGTCAATGATTTTATGACATGTGACACACTTTCGCAGAAAAAGCTGACTAGACTAAGTTTGTTACCAGGGGTAGCGAATTTGGTGTCCTATATGGCACAATCTCGTTGCTCGATAAGAATTAATGTTCCAATCACAATAAAAATAAAAAGGAAAAATGATTATTTAATTAATGTACCAATAACAATTAGCAGTCAATTTGCTAATGATCGAGTGACATTGCTTCTTCGGCTCGAACCAAGGAATCCCTTAAATACGATTCAAAATGTATTGTTACTTCGAAACATGTAAAGATTTATTAATCTTATTAATATTGAACTTGGTAAAAAAAGGGGATTTAATAACTGAAAAAAAAATTATTAAAGAAAATTCTTTGGAGAATCTCCTAATTGTTCCAGAGCAACTAGAAAGAGATTCCTTAACCAGAAAGAATTCAGTTCAGATGTAGGATACCTAGGACATTTATTTTGATTACTATTCAATTGAAGTAGTTAACGGTGGGGTTACCATTCTAATCCTTTTTGTGGTGACGAATCTTGTATGTGTTCCTAAGAAAAGGAATTTGTCCATTTTTCGGGGTCAGGCGCCGACGAGCACATTGAACTATCCATGTGGCTGAGAGCCCTCACAGTCCAGGCACAACGACGCAATTATCAGGGGCACACTCTACCACTGAGCTAATAACAATCACCAATTACAATTAATGTACCAATGAGATTAACTTTTGATTGTACCGATCACAAATAATGTACCAATCATCAATCACTTCGGAAGGCTATAACTTTTGATTCAGATATCCAAATCAGATGATTTTTTTATTTTATTTCACATAATTTTTCGAGATCTACGCAATGACATTTCATTTGATATATTTTATCTCTTATAACATCGTTCAAATTTGTAACAATGGTATCACAAATAATTAATGTATCAATCACCACTCACAATTAATGTACCAATAACCAATCATAATTAATGTACCAACTAAAATTAATTGTGATTGTGATTGATAATTGCTATATTAATTGTGATTGATACATTAATTAATGGTACATTAATTCTGATCGAATAACGAGATTTGGTACGTAGAACTTGTACGAGGTTTCACGAAATGATTGCTATCAAATTGCTAGCAGTCGTAATGAATTTGATATTGTGATAGTCAATAATCGGAATAAACTTCAAGTCATCACAATCTAGTGAATTTTACTGTTAGTGTGATAATTTCCTAGAAAAATATCAAAAAACGTAGCCCATTGGTCACTGTTGCCAGCACCGCTTTACATGGCATCGTTCTCATTATAAAAGACCCATTCAATTCGTAAATATTCTGGATCCGCGATCTTTCTTCTCTTCTGCCCTGACTTTTTACCGGTACGCTCTTTCTCTCTTCTCTTTTCTTCTTCTTTTCATTACAAACCCTAGTTCGCTTCCATTTCCCGCTTCATTCATCAATCTCCCTTCACTGTTCAATTATTGTGTACGATAGCTACCATTCACGATCTCTCTACTTGTACCTTTTTTGCCATCCATTTTTGTTTTTAACTCATGATTTATTTATTTGTCCTCGTTTGGTTTGCTAAAGTTGAAGTGCTGATGCAGGTTGTTGCGTTGTTCCAAATGGCGTTCTTTCGAAGCGTTTCTGCACTTTCCCGGCTTCGCTCTCGCGTGGTAACTGAAAATATGCTAACTTTTTTTCTTCTTCTTTAAGTTCTTCTCCCACTTTTTTAAGCAATGGATTTGTGTTTGATTGTTTATGTAACTTGCTATTTTTTATTTTCTGCCTAGCCATTTTAATTTCTTTTTAATGTTTAATTTGTTTTTTTTCTTCTTATTTTAATGACAGGGTCAACAATCTAGCCTTGCCAATTCAGTTAGATGGCTCCAAACTCAGACCCTCAGTAACAATGTATTCTCTCTCTCTCTCTCTCTCTCTCCTTGATGAAATGTATCAGTGAACCTTCTTAGATGCCATGTATTTTCTGAGGATGGTATTAGTATTACTGTTATTATGTTGTAGTTTAGTTTGTCTCAGTTGGACTTATGATAAAATCTGAAACTAATCATGTTTATGCATAAAGTTGTTTGTATCTTTCGAACTTTGTTGGTTTGGAATTTTGTTCATGCTGGCTATTTTTCCGTTTTGCAGGATCTTTATTCTGAGTTGAAGGAACTTGTTCCTCAGTATCAGGTTTGTCTGCAATTTTAAGCTTCAATAGTGATACTGTTTATTTGGATCTGTAAATGTGTAATCCATGCTGTGTTCTCAGGGTTTAATGTGAATTTTGTGTGTCTGCCTTCCTTCAACAGCACCCTCTGAGTTGTGATGCAAATTATGTCAAGTGTGGGCTTCATAGTTGTATTCTTGGACTTTAGTTTGATTATTTGGTTGTAATGGGTGTAGTGAATGTGAATCGAATTCTTGCTTGTGCTTAACTTGCAATGCACATTTAGTAGTAGTTATTTGTACAGTGCTCATCCTATTCTGAGTCTGAGATACTTAGTAAATGTCTTACCTGATTCGTAATTCTCGGTTATGATGGGTGTCAAGCAATGTTTCCTTCTTTTCTGTTTCTTCATGCTTACCTTGCAACTTGCAAATCTTCAACTAATGTGTTTCTATCTAAAATGAGTTATATGTCTACCTTATGTTTGATATGACATAAATCCTGGTTGCAGGAACGTGTTAAGAAGCTGAAGAAAGATCATGGAAATGTTGAATTGGGAAAAATCACTGTTGATATGGTAATTTATATTACCTATCTTATAGATAGAGTTTCAAGTGACTAGCAGGATTCAATGCTGTCATCCTCTAGTCTATATAAGCTTGCAATGTAACTTATTTTTGGAATGTCCTTTGTCACAATGAAAAGGTACTTGGTGGAATGAGAGGAATGACTGCTTTAGTGTGGCTAGGTTCAGCTGTTGACCCGGATGAGGTATATATCTAAAGTAATACAGTCTTCACTCTTCAGACATTTGTGAACTAGTAAAGTGATGTGAATTACCCTTGCTAATGACTATTATTGATACAATCTCACACATAGCATCTATTTGTAAATGTTTGTTAAATGGTTCTCTGTGCTCAGCGTGCTGTGTCTTGTAGGGAATTCGCTTTAGGGACATGACAATTCCTGACTGCCAGAAAAAACTTCCTGGTGCTTTTCCTGGTGGGGAGCCTTTGCCTGAGTCTGTACTGTGGCTTCTATTGACAGGAAAGGTAAGCAATAGTTCTACATAATAAATTGAATTAATTATTTGGGAGTTTGACCTACTTGTAATACAATATGGTATAACTTCGTATGAAGGTCTTTTAATATGTAGTCTTGGTTGAGACTTTGTTGTATAATCTGTGATTCATAAATTGTGTTACAGATACCAAGTAAAGAGCAAGTAGATTCATTAGCCCAAGAATTGCGAAGCCGTGCAACTATCCCAGGTTCAATTCCTTTTGAGGTTATATCTTGGTTATAATTTCCTTTAAGCAATGTATTGTTCATAGTAATATAATAGACTGACTCCAAATAGACTGTCATAGTTTTGTAGAGTGCTTTTGTCAGTCATATGTTCATGGTTTTTGTTTCTGATGCACTTGAGGCTGAGTTCTTTTTATGCCCCAAAATTGGGGATTTGTCATTTTGTTGCAGATTATGCTTATAAGGCAATTGATGCGCTGCCTATTTCTGCTCATCCTATGACTCAATTTACTACTGGTGTCATGGCCCTACAGGTTCAATAACAGATTATACAGTTTTTTTTCCACATTAATTTTTTTTTTCTGTAATTAAACTGCTTAAATGATCATATTTATTCTACATTAATTTCCTTTGTATATAGTTTCTTTCTACTCTTCATATCCATCTACATCTAGATTCTTCCTTTTTTAAAAGAGAAAAGAAGAAAGTGGGTTTAGTTTATATATCTTGTCAATAAGGATCATAGTAAACTAAATTGACTGCCTAACAGTTACATTATTTATATTCTTGTAACAGAAAAGAATGACTTACAAACAATTCATTTCATTTTCAGGTGCAGAGTGAGTTTCAGAAGGCATATGAGGGTGGGTTAGCTAAGGCTAGGTAAGATTCTAAATGCTTTCTGTGTTACTTTCACCTTGTGAGTTACTCTAACAGGTTTACTGCTTGGATATAGGTATTGGGAGCCAACTTATGAGGACAGCATGAATTTAATTGCTCGTTTGCCAGCAATTGCTGCTTATATTTATCGACGGTATGTATGAATGTAAAACATATCATCCTCATCAAAAGGACACAATTTAACATGCAATGGGATATTATAGCCAAAAGAAAGAGAAAAGGACAATGGGATATATTGTGGGATGACACCTATTAGAAATTTTTTTACAGATTTCTACTATCTTCTTACATTTGTATTTATTCTTACCCCATTTCAAAGGATATACAAGGATGGGAAAATCATACCATTGGATGATTCTTTGGATTACGGTGCAAATTATGCTCACATGTTAGGATTTGATGATCCAGAAATGCTAGAGTTTATGAGGCTGTACATTTCCATTCATAGGTTTGTATTGCTAATGATGGCACATCATATGATCGTGCTGAGTTGAATGGTTCTCTTTTAATTACCAACAACTGCAGTTTTTGTTGCTTGAATTTTGTTAAATTTCTTTTGCAGTGATCATGAAGGCGGCAATGTTAGTTCTCACACGGCCCACCTAGTAAGTAATTTCCCTAATCAAATTTCTTTTTTATTTATTTTTTATTTTTCTAATGTATTGTACTGTATGTTCCATTCAGGTTGCTAGTCCACTATCAGATCCTTACCTTTCTTTTGCGGCTGCTTTGAATGGCTTAGCTGGGCCACTGCATGGTTTGGCCAATCAGGTTATTTTGTTATTTGTTTTCCCTTTTTATCTGTTTTTCTGTTCTCTGATATAAAATCTGTCATAGTCTATCTTTCTTTTCAGAATTCTTGTTTGGCTATGTTTACTCAGACCTGACATTGTTACCGCTTTTTCTTTAAAAAAATGAAATTGTCCTGTATTATTAGTATGTGATGTTCTGATAAATACAGTCAGATTCAGATACTAATCAGGTAGGGGGGATTTTTCTTAAAGAATGAAATGGGCAGAAAAAGCATGTCTTGTATTGCTGAATGAGATTTGAATTATTATTGTAATATCATTGGATTGACATAGTGACATTAGGACCATATGAAATATAATAATTGTGATTAATGCTTATCTTGTTTGTATATTATTGACTTTAGTTTTGTTCACTTTGTTATGTTGTTACAGGAGGTTTTACGATGGATCAGATCAATAGTTGCAGAGTTTGGAACTCCAAACATAAGTACAGAACAATTGACTGATTTCATTCATAAAACATTGAATAGTGGCCAGGTAATGCAGTAACTGATATGGATCTATGATGCTGAATGAAATTTTTGAAGTCTTTTTTATTTTTCATTTAGCTTTTGTCTTTTGGTCAATTAATTATATGGTAATTATTCTGATTTTTTTTGTTGGTTAAACATTATTTTTTAAAGTAAGTAAATTCATTAGGGAAGAGTGGAGGATAAGAATTTTACTTAGAGAAAAAATCAATTGAGCAAAGCATGCCAACTGTGTCCAATGTGTTATATTCAGATCTTTTATTATTCTTGAGGAAAAGAATTTGTTGGCTGAAGGGCATTATGGTTCTTCAGTTCCCCTTGTTTTATGTCTCTTGACACACACAGGGCCACTAATTGTCTCTTCCCTAACGGGAAGTTTCTGAACAAAATATAGAAAATTCAAGTGAAGTTTCTGAAGATTTTCAAAATTAAGGAGTGGTTGTGTAATTAGAGGTCAATATAATGGGACGTAGGAGTATTATATTCTGTTTTTACTACAATATAAGGATTTTTCATGTGGTTATATGCATAGATTTGCACTCAAGGATTATTTTAAAGAGAATATGATAGGTACCAATCAACAAAGTAATGAAAATTGAAAACAGAAACAGAAATTGTATTGAATTCTCCTTAAAATAGATGAAACAGTGTGATGTCTGACACTACAAGAGGTTAGTCTCTCCCTATCAGCAAAAAGCTGCCCGAAACAGTACCCACTATCTTCCTACCTCACGTGACCCTCCCTTCCTAATATAACAGAATTCTTCTAGCAAGTGTCCTAATACAAGGACACTTCAAGAGGTCAGTCTCTCCCTATCAGCAAAAAGCTGCCGGAAACAGTACCCACTATCTTCCTACCTCACGTGACCCTCCCTTCCTAATATAACAGAATTTTTCTAGCATAACTCACACTAACAAAATTGTCACATTCACTAGTTTGTTGTGCATGATCCACATTCTCTTTTCTCACGTTTCCTTTATTTACACTTGTAACTAAGGGCCTAACAGAATATCACTGTCATGTTCTAAAGTCCTGTACAGAGAAACCTCTCTTGCAATGTGGTAACAGGGTTTGGCTAATTCCCTTTTTTGGATTTGCAGGTCGTGCCTGGATATGGACATGGGGTTTTGCGCAAGACAGACCCAAGATACACATGCCAGAGGGAGTTTGCTTTGAAGCATTTGCCTAACGATCCACTTTTCCAACTGGTAATCACTTATTTCAGATTTTGTTTGCTTTGAAGTGCTTTCTTATGGTACAACCAAAGTTCAGTCCTAGTAATTTAATTTGTTCATTATCTAATGTGACTTTGTCAACCTTTCAGGTGTCTAAAATAAAAGAGGTTGTGCCTCCCATTCTTACCAAATTAGGCAAGGTAATATTATGTTTTTATTTTTCAATAAACTTTCCTATGGATTTTTTTTCCCCCAACTTTGTTCTTGTGAATTCAAAATGGTTTATGCTTAATAAATGTACTGCCAAATGCCAGTATTTTATGAATACGTGTTGGCACTAAGATTACAGAAGGATTCTAAGGTTTAGCACAGGCATTGATTGAAACACAAGGCAAGGAAGATGGTCTGATAGGGGTTGGATATCAGATAACGAACTTTCAGATTTTTTTAGAGTTGCTAGGGGTTTTTAATTCAATGATATCGCCTCCACAAATCATGGTGAATTTCGTTTGTAAAGCATTTTGGGTTCAAAATAGTGAAAATGTGGATAAAGATTCAAAAGAGGAAGACATTCCTTGGTCTTTGTATACATTTCTTCTAATGCAAGTATTGCTTTTATTCCGGGGTAGTCGGTCAGTGTTTATTCTCTTTCCCACACAATCACTACAAGAATTTGGATCCAGTACTTCACATTCTAGTTTGGTTCTGTTTGCTTTGTATTTTTGTCTTGTTTATAATGATTTACACTTGGATGTTGTACCACATGTTGTTTTCTTGTAGATTCTAGCATTACAATGATAAACTGTGTAACAGCTGTGCTCATTGCTCTCTTGCTATTAGTTGTAATGTTTTCAACTTAAGAGAGTTTTCAATGATGTAGGTTAAAAATCCATGGCCTAATGTTGATGCTCACAGTGGAGTGCTACTGAACTACTATGGTCTAACTGAGGAAAAGTATGGTGTTACTTCTATCGCATGTTCAAATTTGATATAGTTTTCATTTCGAAATTACTTTTTTGGGTGAATCTGATGATCTGTTAACATTCTGGACAGCTATTATACTGTTCTATTTGGTGTAGCGAGGAGTATTGGAGTTGGCCCTCAGGTTTGTCATACACCATTGTTTCCTTGTTAATTACTTTTTGTTGCCTTGGGTTAACATATATCTTCCTTTTGGTGTAATTCAGTTGATATGGGATCGTGCTCTTGGAATGCCACTAGAAAGGCCCAAAAGTGTCACGCTGGAAAAACTCGAGAAATTGTGCGCTGGATCTGCGTAAACCTTAAATTTAAAGCACTATTTATGTTATTATTTGCTAAAATACACTCTACGTTAGATGCACGGTGGTTTTAAATTGAAAATTTGGTTTGATTGTGATGAGGAATATTCATTACCCTCCCCTTTTCCGGCCATAACTGTTTTCGAGATTTTTGTATTTAGGTAAACGGTGGTTTATCACCCTCACAGTTGTCTTTCTATTTTTTCTGAACTATATAAGTTAGGTTTCAGGGAGCATCATAATAAAGGCATTATTGTTTTGGGGTTATCCCTTGTATTCATTTTAAATTAGGATTTGCCCCTTTTGACTAGTGATCAATAACATGTATTTACTTGAAGTCGTTACCAGGAATAAAATCTAGCGCTTTCATTGGTACCGTGACACTTCTCTGAAATTATGTGCATTTTCTGGTTGATCCTATGTTGATTATGCAGTGTATTTAGTGAGCTGGCTCTATATTTATGGTATCCTTTGTTTTATCCATAACGTAAAATGTGATGTGTCTGCACTATCTTGAGAGAGATAAAAGTAAATAATAAATTGTAACATATTTTACTTTTAAAGTTGTTTTACAAAAACACGCCATTTAACATTTTTTTTCCTATTAATATTTCTTCTTTTACTTTTAATGTTTTAACAAATGATGTACCACTAAAGATAATACTTTATAGTTTCTCTTTATTTTGCACATTTCAACTGGTTGATGTATGTCAAATCTGTTTAGGATCACATTACTTTTTATTCAAGTTAATATTCTTCCTTTTCTTTTCTTCCTTCTTAGTTGTTAATAAATAGAGTAAAAGACAAATAGAGAAATAATAATATTTTCTATATTTCAACAAATAATAATTCAGTTAAATAATTAGTTTACTTCTATATTTCAACAAATAATAATTCAGTTAAATAATTAGTTTACTTATAATTAAGGTTACTTAGTAATTTGTTTATTCTTAAATAAAAACTTTAAAAGTTTGAGAAAATAAATCAGAGAGTAGAAATTACCGGAATTTGAATGATCACTAGCAATTAAGTCAAAAAAAAAAATTGATGTTATAGACAATAATCATAAGCTACTCCGATAAACTTTTACGGTTCACCAGATTTCTGTGAGTTTTGAACATGTTGGTTTATGTTCACTTTCATGTAGTATCTGTTTCCTTAAACCTAAACCTTAAACTATTCCTCAAGATGAGGTGGAGCGGATTCGAAATATGCTTGGTTCTCTGAGTAAGTCATTTAGCATTAATGCTTTGGCTATGATTGATATGATCTCCACAACTAATTCTTTTATTACCTCTTGTCTTGATTTTAAACATTCTTGGATTATTGATTCTGGTGCTATTGATCATATGGCTTGTTGTGCTGACTCTTTTTCCTCTTATAACCCTACTATTGGCAGACATACAATAGTCATAGTTGATGGCTCACATACATCAGTTGCGGGTTCTTGTAACATATACTTAAAGCCTTTCTTACATCTCCAACATGCTTTTCATGTTCTAAAACTTTCTACTAATTTTGTTTTTGTTCATAAAATTACCAGAGATTTGAATTGCACTATAGCCTTCTTTTCTACTCATTTTGTTTTTCAAGATCTCGCCATTGGGAAGACGATTGGGGGTGCTAAGGATTAAGGAGTAGGGTAGGCTGTATTATTTGGTGCCAAAATCTTCTGCATAGTGTGCTAAGGATCACACTTTATTGACTCATTCTTAGCCTACTGTTGACTCTTTGATTTGGCTTCATCATAAACGCTTGGGGCATCTTCCTTTTCGTTTCCCTAAATCTTTATTTCCATCATTATTTTTGTTGTTGAGTCTTTTCATTGTGATGTTAGTGAGTTTGCTAAACACCATCGTGTCTCTTTTCCTTCTCCTCCGCCATTCTTTCTTGGGTAAAAGATCTCTTTTCACATGCTGCTGTGGGTGCGTGAAAAGGACAAGGAGGGCTTGAGTTTGATGATATAATTTTTCATTAACTCCATTGAAATAAGTGTTTTATATTTTGATAGTTTGATATTTTTATTAGCTTGTGTAATATTGACTTGTGAATTTAATTTGTTGAATTATGTTAAGTATATTTTGAATCTTTGATGATTGTGATTTTTTTTTTGGAATTTTTTATATAAGATATATATTTATATTTTTTTAATGTATAAAATCGGGTCAGCAAAGTGAACCCGCGGTTGAACCCTTAAAAATTGAAAAAAAAACCTACGCTTGCTGAGGGTGACATTTGTAAATAAAACGATGAATTCCCTCTATCGCGTATCCCCGATTAATGCAGCCTGATATGCTTAAATTTTAAGTTTATAATATTAAGCGAAAGGTTATACCTATACCTATGGAGTACTTCCTCCCCGGGACCTACCCCCAACCTAGAGTAGCTAGATGGGGAAGTAAAATTAAGCCTCGTTCATACATGGGCTTCTCAGGTACGAAATGAGCCACACTACCTTGGCCGAGTCAATGGTCAGGCCAAGTTTTTAAACATTTCTCTTAAGTGTGTTTTTCTTGGTTATGCCTTTGATAAAAAAGGTTACAAGTGTTATCATTCTGTCAGTCGAATTTTTTTTGTTTATACGGATGTCACCCTTCATGAATCTGAGTCTTTTTTCCCAAGTCCTCATCTTTAGAAGGATAACAGTTCTTCAATAGACTCATCATCTTCCTTCTTTGAGTCTGGATCTTCCATGTCTACTCCTACACCTCTTGTTTCTGATCCTACTATGTCTGAACCTTCAAATACACCTCTTGTTTCTGATCCTCCTGTGTTTGATCCTTCAAATACACCGAAGATACAAAAGATTTTGACACCTGATTTGGTATATCATAGGAAGAGACAACTCACAATGCTTCACCAGCAAACCTTAATTGTTTGAACCACTAGTAAGTTTCAAACCTCTTATTTTGAACCTAATATTATTGCCTTTAATGACTTGCCTATTGCTTCTGATAGCTTATCCATTACCTCTGATGACTTACCTATTGCCCTAAGGAAAGAGATCTTGTATTCAAAAATCTTGTCCCTCTTATACCCAACACCCTATCTCCCATTTTGTCTCTTCTACTAACTTTTCTGTGCAGCACAAAAACTTTATTTTAGCATTATATTCTATCTCAATCCCAAAATTAGTACATGAAACATTAAAAGATGAGAATAGGGCTCAAGTCGTGCAAGAGGAGATGAATGCCTTAGAGAAAAATAAAACATGGGAGGTTGTTGATAGACCTAATGAAAAGAAAGAAGTAAGGTGCAGATGGATTTATGTCCTAAAATATAATTTTGATGGTACTCTTGAGAGGTATAAGGCTCAGTTAGTCGCCAAGGGTTACACTCAGACTTATGACATTGATTATGAAGAAACTTATGCCCCAGTTGCAAAGATGAATACTGTGAGAGCCTTGTTATCCCTTATTGTCCATTACAACTGGGATATTAATCAATTTGATGAGAAGAATGCTTTACTTAATAGTGAGTTAGAAGAAGAAGTTTACATGAAAATTCCACTTGATTTTGACTCTATGGATGGAGAAAATAAAGTTAGTAGGTTGAAGAAGGCCTTGTATGGATTGAAGCAGTCTCCTCGTGCTTGGTTTGGGAGGTTTACTAAGGTTATGATGACCTTAGGATACAAACAGAGCTAAGGAGACTACACAATTTTCTTTAAGCAGTCCCAAGATGGGAAGCTTACTATGTTCCTTATGTATGTTGATGACGTTATTATATCAGGAGATGATATTGTGGAGAGACATGTTCTACAAGCACGACTAGCCTCTGAATTTGAGATTAAAGACCTTGGGATATTGAAATATTTTCTAGAGATAGTGGTAGCTCAAAGAAAGAAATTTTTACCAGTTAGAGAAAATATGTACTTGATCTTCTTAAACAAGCAGGAAAACTTAGATGTAAACCCTCTAGTACTCATACTGAGCAGAATCATAAGATGGGTTATGAAGAGGAGAGTCCTCCAGTTGATAAAGGACAATATCAATAGCTAGTTAGGAGACTGATATATTTGGCTCATACTAGACCAAACCTAGCTTATGCTGTTAGTATTGTGAGTCAATTCATACATAATCCAAAAGAAAAACACATGCAAGTAGTGGAAAGAATTCTTCAGTATCTTAAAGCCACTCCTAGTAAAGGATTGTTATTTTGGCGTGATGGCAATTTCTCTTTAAAAGTTTATACTGATGCCGATTATGCTAGATCTGTGACTGGCCGTCAATCTACCACTGGTTATTGTATGTTTCTTTGTGGTAACCTAGTGACATGGAGGAGTAAAAAACAAGATGTGGTTACCAAGTCAAGTGCAGAGATTGAATTTCTAGCTATTGCTCAAGGTATTTGTTAGTTATTATGGTTGAGAATTATACTTAATTATCTCAAAATAAGATGTGAAGGACCTATGAAGCTACTTTGTGATAATAAGTCTGCCATTTGTATAGCTCGTAATCCAGTTCAACATGATCAAACTAAGCATATTGAGGTCGACCGCCATTTCATCAAAAAGAAGCTTGATAGCGGGTTGATCACTGTTCCATACATTCCTTCTAAGTGTCAATTAGCTGATATTCTGACGAAGGAACTTTCCTCAGAAAGGTTTCAAGAACTTACTAGCAAGCTAGGAATGATAAATATCTATTACTCAGCTTGAAGGGAGTGTTATAAATAATTGTAAATATTATTTCTTCTAGAATCTTCTTTGGGCTTATCAGATTAGGTCATTCAGTCTCTTTAAATAGAGAGCTCTTGTACAGTTATAATATACAATTCATAGAATATAATCCTTCCTTTTTTCAAGTGTTTTTTTATTTATAAAAAAATATGTTTATGTTGAAGATAAATTGAGTCTGGGATGGAAAAACTATTAAATCAAAGGTCATTTGGTACAAATGTTAGACCTAATGAGAAGCGAGATCATGTCATGTAAGAAAGGTGTAGTGATGGAGATTAGATGAACAGCGGCACCAAAGCTTAGCTTGACGTAGTTAGGAGTTTGGTTTTGTAGTTTTGAAATAGTGACTTATACAACATTGCCCGTTAGTGAGAGTAACTATAGTGTAAAAACATGTTGCCTGAATGACGGAGCTATGTAAGCATGATTCATTAGTGTAAGGCGTATTCCACTTTTTTTCTATGGTATATCTCAACAATTCATCCATGTTGGTTTTTTTTCATAATTGAAACATCGATACACATTTCGTAAAATGATCAATGAATGTAAAAAACCAATTCAACCCAAAATCTTAAGGTGTTGGATGAGGGCCTTTTTAATGGTTTTATATATCTCTAACACGCTCCCTCACACGATAGCCCACTGGGCTTGAAGGGTGGATAATACAGAGGTCCACATACATGTGTTAAGAAATTTCATAAGAGAAAGTGGAGTGCGGTGAGAATCGAACCCGTGAAGCTCTTATACCATATAAAGAATCAATTCAACTCAAAACCTTAAGATATTGAGTGATGGCCTTTTTAATGGTTTTTTTATATCTCTAGCAATAAGTATGAGGTAACAAAAAATTGGGAAATTCCCTTTATGATAAAAAAAAGTCCTCTAGTGCTTTCTGCTCAACCTGGTTCTCACACCACATGACATGACTTTTGTTTTGTCTTAGAGATAGAGATGTCCTGCCCAATAGGCTAGTGAGTTTCTTTTGGATCTGGGGCGCTCTCTCTAAGGTATCTATAAGTTAGATACCCTTATATCATTGCACTAAGAGTAAAGAATAGCTTTTGCCAAAGGGGTGGTGCGTGTGTACAGTGACAACATAACAATAAGAGAGAGAATATTCATACATGTAGGTTTTACCTCCTATTTATAGAGTTTACCTGTGGGTATTGGATTCTGGACCTTCTGTGTTTCTTCCAGCAGCCAAAGCCCATGTTTAATGCTATCGTATTAGAATTGATATCTTTGATGTATATCTTCCCTTAATTATATCATATTTATATATGTATTGTCCCTTGTTGGGCTTAGTGATAAATGAGCCTCATGTATGAATCCATAACAACTTTAATTTTTTTTTTTTTTTTCAAATTTGAGAAGGGGCCCCCTCCCTAGCCCCCTTAGTTCCGCCTCTAATTGCAATATAAGAGTTTTTGGGTGCAACAAAATAATTACTAGGTGTAAAAGGAAAAAGTTTGCAAAAGAAAACAAAGTTAACCCTACAAAACATGTAGGCAATGTTGTTAAAGTCGAGATTTTAAGTAAAATTGGAAGGGGACTAAAAAATCGTAAAACTTAAAATCGTAATGTAAAAAATCATAAAAACGTAAAAACGTTTGGAATATTGATAAAATCGTTTTGATGAAAAAAAGCGTAAAAACATAAAATCATAATGATAAATTGAAATTTTAACAACTATACATAGGGTTGGCAAAACGGGCCAACCCGGCAGGACCTGACCCAACCCGCATTCAACTCGAAAAAACGAGCTGGGTAGGGGTTGGCTCGAAAAAAAAAAACGAGCCAAAAAACCCAACCCGACCCGAGTTGGGTTAGGGTTGGCTCGCGGGTTAGCTAAAAAATATGGCTGGTGGGTTGGCTTGAAAAAATAGCTCGCAAGTTGGCTCGAAAATTGGCTCGTTTTCAGCATATTTAAATGACCTTGTAGTATTAATACACCAGCTATGTTGCTTCCATTAGCTTAAACAAAAAGTTACAAAATTAGAAATAAAAGCAAAATATTTTAGTTTCGAATTTTCTTCACAACAAATTTGCATCAACATCCATAAACAATTAAAACCACTTGCTACCAAGTGGGTAAGATATTTGAACCAAACAGAGTCAGCACAGCCTAACAATATAAAAATGGTAGGATGTGAGAAGATTATAGACTTAGGTTTAGAGAAAGAAGAAAAATAATGACAACATGTGTGAGTTTTCTCCATTTTTGTATCTTATATTTTGTATTTTTTATAAAAAAAAAAACTCAACCCACGAGTTGGCTCGTTTGACTTGCGGGTTGACAGCTCATTTTTGCCAACCCAACTCGACTCATTTTTGACAGATTACGAGCCAACTCATCGGGTTGACTCGCTTTTGCCAACCCTTACTATACATGTAGGGGACAGAAAACACAAAAAAGCATGCAGAAGAAAATGAGAATAAAAAACAACACAGGATTATTGAACTCGGACCACCGGCTATCAATTTGGTATATTGGGTGAATGGATAATTGATTGAACCCGTTCAATTGAATTTATATAATAATATATAATAAATATAATAATAGCTCCGTCATGGTCAACAAATAAACGGAGCATGTCCCCATATAAAATTCTGAAAAATGATTCAACTAGAAAACTAGGACCGGTTGAACCCAATTTGCCAATAACGCAACAATTGGTTGTCCAGTTGCCGGTTCAACCGGTTGGAAAAAAGCTGGGATGATCCCAATTTGCCAGTTTCACATCAGTTGATGGGAAAAAATTTATGGCGCATCAGGAGTGACCACCGCAATCCTTCAATGTTTTTCTTATATTTTTATTTATGTCCTTACAAATTTTCCACAATTAATAAAAGCAGCACTCAAAGGAGATGGTTCCCATCCACCAAAAATTCTCTTCCACAATAGAATACGCCAAATTCGAGTCAAACCATTGCAGGTCAAGTACAATTCAAGATGGTAAATTATCAGCATATTCCAGCTTTATTCGACTGCAGAAGTGCAGTAGTTAGGTCTTTGCAATTAGAGTTCAAAAAGCTTAATTTTAAATAATTTATTTAATTAATTATTGGAACAAAATATTATACCTATTCTTTTTTTCATTCTTATTCTCTACCTACATATTTTCAACACAGTTATATTAGAATTTTAAATAAATATAAAAAAAAAAAGAAACTTGAGGTGTGTTTGATTTTATTTTATTTAAAAAAAAACTAGTAAAATATTTAATGAAATAGGTATTTCTATAAGTTTTATTTTGAAAATTAAAAATCAAAGTATAAAACAAAAATAATACAAATTTGTTATTTAAATTTGATTCTAAAAAAAAAAAAATTATAAATTTTTGTTACAAAATAAACCTTATTAAACGAGTTTTTTTTTTTTTTTTTTCTGAAAATCAAAAAATTATTTTTTGAAACAGATTTTAAACAGATCTCAACCGTAGTAACAATATAATAATAACTTGCTACGTAATCCATTACAAGTCAGCTCACATTAAATTGGGTCAAATCAGAATAGAGCAAGTTGAGCCAATTTTTTTTTTTCAATTTAATTAGCCCAACTTTCACATTTTGTTGGGTTTTTTGGACTGGCCATCAGGTTTAGCCCATTTGGATATATCCCTAAGAGCATCATCCCACCAAAACTAAGCCAAACAAGATGACAATTCAAGTTATTGCATTTCAAAACAGGATTGGAATCAGGATGTGAGGAGTTAGTTGCTGAGGATGTTAAGGGTACTATGGTGCCCAGAATTGTCTGTCTGTAGTTGTTCTTTCTTTCCTATATATACAAAAAAAAAAAAAAACAGGATTGGAATCTAAATTCCCCAATCTGATGTTAGAAAATCATATATATAGCGAATGAAAGCAGAAGACTACAGCATGTAAGAACTTTGCCGAGGATAACTACCCAAAACAAAACCCTATCTCTTAAGCTCTTTCTTCCCTTTATCTGCTTTCAGCTCTCTTTGGTATTTTTACCACTCAAATACTACTAAGTCCACATGCATAAAAATAAAACTGAAAGAAAATGATAAGGACTAATGCCATAGATTAAAGTACAAACACAACATTACAATAAACAAATTTATTTTAGAGGAGGAACATTAACAATCAAACTTATCAGCCACATTATAACGGAACCAATGATCCAACAAACGAGGAAAAAGACAAAGAATCCAGCCAAAATAGTAAGGAGAGGAGGCCCCTTTGCAGCATTGCTACTTTCATTTACATCTGATCCTTCACTGGTTGATTTTCCACCTCTAGAGTTGGGGTTTGTTGCAGAAACAGTTAGCAACCTTTGATTTATAAGCAATTTTCTAGAACCTTTCCACCTGGATATAATCAAAGACCAGAAGATATAGTTTCATGTAGAATAACTACAGACAAGCTAAAATAATTATGATTAAATAAGATGCAAGTATTATAACAATCAAGTATAGGATAGACACACACCCTACCACTCATTCAACTAGGAGGAAGAGAAAAGTGTTTCATTTTAAGTAAACATTGTCGTAGTTTAAATTTTTTTAAAATAAGAGGAAATGATAAAAGATTATCATGGAATGTAGTGATTATTTCTTATTCATTTTGAAATAGCAAACTCTAGTGCACAAGGCTCCCTCACTTTCGACTTTCGAGGGTAGTGGTGAGGGTCCCTTCTATTTTTGCAAAGAGATTATTTTTTATATTCAAACCTATGACCTTCCGGTAACAAAAAAGCAATTTTACTGCTACTCTAGGGCTCCCCCCCTTTTGAAATATTTTATATTTCTCTAAATTTAGAGAGATGAAAAGTCAATTCTGTCTTCCCTTTCCCTCCAAACTCTTCCATCCAAACATACCCAGCCACTGCAATTAATTGATTTCCTTTGTTATTTGGCCTCAAAAGCCCTGAGTAGTTAAACTAAAACTAGCATAAATAAACCCTTTGGTTAGGGATCACAGATTTAAAAAAAAAACACCCTTTAAGAGTGAATCAGCGATGACAACCAGAAACAAAATCAAAGTCCTGAATTGCAAACCAAAGTTCAGCAAACTGTAAAAACAAACAGTGTATCCACTATTACATTAGTTTTGAGATTTGGAAAAAAAAAAAAAAAAATGAAAAAAACACCCTTTGAGAGTGAATTAGTGATGACAACCACAAACAAAATAAAACTCCTAGATTGCAAAATTATTACAATACGTTGTAAACCAAAAAAATAAAAAATAAATAGTCCAATGCGGTTTGAAGTGAGGAAAATTTATGCCTCTACTCATATTAATTTACTGACAGCCCCACAATCTTTTATCATTGCAAAACCACAAAGGTAAAAATAAATAAAAAGTCACATATATTATATTATAACGATTTAAACCAAAAAATCTGATAGACACATCTACTTCAGCACACCGTAAAGACAATAAGTGGTATCCACTATTATATAAATTTTGAGATTAAAAGAAGAAAGAAAAAGAAAAGAAACAAACTTTTTCAGTAGAAGGTGGTGAGAAATTTGTAACCCAGAAACCAAAACGGAGAAGCAGGGCAAAAGCATACAAAAATCTACAGAAAAATACACAAAAAAAAAAAGAAAAAAAAAAGAGGAACGAAAATTAAGAAATTAATAATAATAAGCAAAGAAATGTGTGAACCTGAGAGTAGAAGATGTGGGAGAGAATTTGACAGCGGGAATGGAAGAGATTTGAGGGGTTGAAGAAAACCCTTGTGTCAACTTTGCACAAGCTCTGGTAGATGAGTGTGAGAATGCAAGAGAGGCCATCTCACTCTCTCTCTCTCTCTCTCTTACCCAAATATGGACCTTTTGTTTCAAGTTTCAACCATATAGAATATGTTTTCCAACATGAATCTCTATATACGTATCTTATGACATTGCTTTAATCCGTTTTAAAATATTTATTTTCTAAACTTTTATAAAATATTGCTAAATATTTTTATTTTGTAAGATAAAAAATGTAATTTTCATCTCATTTCATTCAATAGAAATATTAAAAGGTAAAAAAAAGTTAATTTTTTTTATCAAATACCTTTTAAAAATTTCAAATTAACAAATAATTTAATATAAAATAGGCATAATGTAATATCCCTTAATACAAATTAAAAAAATTATAATATATTTGCTTTATTAGCGTAGCTGGTTTATATAGTAGCTTATAACATTTATAGCTGATTATTTTCTCCTTGTGCAAGCTCTTAGTTTGTTTTTATTTAGTTTAGTTGTAGTTGTTTAGTTTGTTATTTTTATTGACTCGGCATTGAGTCAACCCGGGCTCTATATGGAGAGCTCGTTCTCGTTTGCAATGTATTGATTTAGTTTCCACTTTCACTCAATTAACAAAAGATAATTACTTTTTTTGGAACCAGATCATCGAACCAATCATCACCTCTCATTAGCTTCAACGTTTTCTGGTGAATCCAAAGATTCCTCTGAAATTTGAGTCAGATGAAGATCACAAGAATAACACATTCATTGTAGCATACACTGAGTGGTTGACTCAAGACCAAATGCTACTGACGTGGTTGTTATCCATGATTTCAGAGGAAGTAATGAACAATATCCTCCCTGTTAAGCACTAGTTTGAAGGCGTGGGAGAACATACACAAGCTCTTTCATAGAATGATGAAATCTCAAGCTTGTCAGTTGATATCTGAGTTGAAGACGATGAAGAAAGGGACAAAAATGGTGAAGGAATACCTAGCTAGGGTCAAAACAATATGTGATTTGCTGAAGTCGATTGGTAGTCTAGTGACGACAGAAAAACATACAGAAACAATTCTTGAAGGTTTTTTGTTTAAGTACAATTCATTCTTGATGATGGTGCATGGACAAGACAGAGCTTATTCTGTTGCTGATCTAGGAATCAAACTTATGAGCCGCAAACAACTCTTGATTAGGCAAAATGTTGTAAATATTAGAATTTTATCTATTTATTTGTATTAGCTAGAATACTCAAGAAGTGTATTTTGGGCTTAGCCCATTAGGTCTTTCAGTACTCTTTAAATAGAGAGCTCTTGTACAGATAATATACGATTCAATAATATATAAATCTCCTTTTCTAGTTGGTATCAGAGCTCTCGATTCTGAGGGCTTTGCTTTCACAAATCACCGCCTTTAAAAACTAAACCCTATTTGCCTCTAGCCACCACAAAGCCGCCATCGAAATTTTTTTTTTGGGACATTTTGGTCTGTGAGGACCCCTGTTTCATTCCGTTTTCTCAGATTTATCATTCTACAGAGGTTTCTTTTTCATTGGACGACTGGAACAGTTCAAAAAAAATATACTGTTCACGCGCACTGTTCACCGATATTGTTCACGTGCACTGTTCATCAGTATTGTTCACGCGCACTGTTCATCGATACTATTCACGTGTACTGTTCATTAGAAAAGAAAAATAAAACAGAAGAGAAGTTTATTCGCCACCAGCCACCAAAATTTTTTTCCAGCCTTTATTATGCCACATGTATTAAAGATACGTTGAAAATTTAGTCTTTCTCCAAATGACCTCCCTCATCGGCAAGTGCACCGATCGTACCAAGTAATAAAAGGGTAAGTAGAGATCGTCTCCACAAGGATTGAGGCACCAAAATTATTTTAACTATTCCTTTCTCGTTGGATGAATCAAATTGGTTTGAGAATATTCTTGATTGTAAAAATTGAGAATAATTCAAAACTGATGAATAATTCAAAGATGCGTTTCGAAATTTGATAATGACATATTAAAATTGTGAAAATATTTAAAAAGAATATTGCGGTAAAAGACGCCAACACCTTTCTGATCCTTACCTTGCAATTTTAATTAATGTTTACATTTTTAATTACCCATTGATCAAACAATTCACCATCTATTAATTGATTGGTTAAGCCCTAATTCCTTAGTGATCTTAACCTTATTAACCTTATTAGAATCCTAATCCCTTAGAAATCTTTTTTCAAGTTAATCCTTTAAATCAATGAATTTTCCACGTTTGCAATTAATGTAACCCATTCCTAGTGTATACATGAATTGTTATTTTACCCTCTGTCAAGAACTAGAATTTCAATATTCCTTTTGAAAACCCTAACCCTCGCAATCCTAATAGAGTGATCGATTCTAGAAGAATTATAAGATGAAGAACATGATAAAATAAATACAATTAAAATAATTAAATATAAAAATTAACCAAACTACAAGGGGTTCACATCAAGGGTTGTGACCCTTACCACAATAATAAAAGACTAGCCAGACATATTCATGTCTGACAATTCTATGTATAGAAAAGAATTCATAAAAATAAACTAATAACCAGAAATTGGAGAAGAAGTTTGCTCTGCGTTCTGCCTCCGTCAATATCTCTCTGTGCAAAAGTTTATTTCCTTAGGTTTATGACTCTTTTTATAGCCCAAGACTCAATCAGGTTAAAATCTTCTAAAAGATTTGATTTGATTTCCTGATTTCGTCCAAATCCAAGCATTAGAAACCCAACAGCACGCTGCTACACGATTAGCGCCAGATCCACGCTAATCGCGCGATAAACCAGTGGAGAGCTCATTTCTGGCACGGTTAGCGTGAGCACCGCGCCATTAGCACAGATCACAGTGGTTTTTGCCCTTCCTTCCTGGATGGTGGCGCGATCCGCACCATCCTCATGCTAATCGCGTGAGTAGCCTTGTGTTGGTTCTCTTTTCTTGGTCTGGTGCTATCCTTTGTACCGCGTGAGTGAGCTATTTGCAACATAGCTTGAATTCATGCTTTTCTTCCTATAAAAACCTACAAACTGAGTGAAAGTGTGCCTGGAGGAAGATTGTCAAGGATTCATTAAAAATACTACTTTTTATCAATGAATTACTGTCAAATCCTTGTTCTTTTTGCTCTGAAACACCTATATTTTGAAGGCACATCAAGCAATTCCCAGATTTAGATATTGTTGTCCCCAGCAATAAATAAAATCAAACATTAAGCATCAATGACAACTCGGTGAGAAGGATTTATGTCCTTTTTGACATTTTCCTTATGGCAGAGATTCAGAGTTATAATGCTGTGCATGAATGAATTCCAGTTGGAATTTTTCGAAAATCACTTTTTTTGCATAGGGAATTAGAATCTAGCTTAATCACTCCTTACCAAGATAATCACTGCACTTTCCACTCTTGTGTATAAGGTTGACTCTCAGTCCATCAGTGCAATAAGACTACCATAGGTTTGATCCCATTCTCAGGTTTCTAAAGATGAGGAACTCATAAACATGCACAATTAGATCCAAAGGTCTTTGCAGGTTGTAACTTGGCTTAAGCTAGGGTAGGAATATTTGGGGAAAATGGCTAATCTTTGACTGTACATGAGATTGAAACACAACAACGTTTTAGTTGTTCATACTCAGACACAATTTCACTTAGTCCCTTCCTTTCTATTCACACTTTTCTTTTTCTTCTTGACCTTTTATTCTTTGTTGTTGCTTTGCAACTTTTCCTTTTGTTTCTTTTCTCTTTGGTCCCAGCTTTTGCTTTCACTTTATTTTGGTGAAATTGATCCTTGAATTTCTATAATCAGTGTTTCAATCTCATCAAAGGTGTGTTGATAGAAAAATAAGCTAAGAGTCTCATGGTTAAATTCAACAAGAAACAACAGGCTAAGGCTTAAAGGGGCTAGCAATGGATTTTTTTTTTCGGTTTAGCTATTTGGCCAATGAGTTAACAAGAAAGAATTGCCTTTATCATTTCAGATCATGCTTGTGTTATTGAGAAAAAGATCAAGTTCTAGAGTGTTATTACAGTGAAGTCTCTAAAAAAGAAATTCACTGTATAGGCTCAAACCTCATGGTTGTGCAATCAAACTAGAATCTAAATCCCACTTAAAATCACATACCAACTGTAATTCTCAACAAGAATTCAATCATTTGAGCAATAATAACTCTTAAGACTTCAACATAGAATTCAATCGTGACTTCTCACACAGTGTCTTATATGCTCCTTAAAGTTTGATTTTCTTATTGCATGAGTAGCAAATGAAAATTTAGGTATGTTATTCAGAGGACTTCTTCTATCACAAAAAAAAGCAAATTGAGACAAAAGGGTTCAGATATCTCCCCTGATGATTCAAAAAACTTTTCTGTTAGAGGTCTTTTCAGTCTGGTTCCTCTGTGCACGTGGGGGGTGCCAATTCCCAGATTTAGAAAATTGCTGTCCCCAGCAATAAAACTAAACTAGTTGAAGAATAAGAATTTTTGCGCATGTACACACTCACACGGGTTAAAGCATCAATTCATCATAACGGAGAGGAAACTAAACATCATAATATCTCAATTGTGGCAACACAAAATGGAAATGTAAAAACATCATCAAAATAACAAATAACAAAAGGTAAATGGTAGCAGGGGATCAACCATCCAGCCATGACTCATCCATATCATCTCCTCCGGCAACCTGTGGTGTGTCAGTAGGCTTAGATGCTAGCTCGGTTGGGACTGTGGTCGCATCAGGCTCCTCAGGTGCGGGTGGTGGTGTAAAAATGGGTCGATACGCAGATGTATCTACCGCAGAGGCTCTAGAGATGTCCTCTAACATTGTGTCCAATAGTCACCCTGTATGCTCAGACGGTCAAGCTGTCCCTGCATGGTCTGAATGTGTCCTTGCGTGGTGAGGATAACAGGGGAATCGACATATAGAGGCTGTGGTGCTGCTGGTGGAACTGGGGCTGCAGCTGTGGTACTCTGTACTGGAGCAGAAGGATGAATATGCTTTGGATGTGGCCCATATGGTTCACGGGGCCATATACGCGGGCTTCGCGTAGCTAAGGTAGATGCTGGAAACTCTGCGGCTCGTCTCATCTGTCTGTTTCGTGCCTCCATCAGCATTTCCCTGTACATTTCATATGTCAGGGTGGTAGCCACCTTTACATCCATAGGCTCATCTGACGGTATCTGGACTCCGGCTTGGATGCATAAGTGCATGATCAAAGTGTAATGGGCCAAACGGATTTCACCTCTACCAACAGTGATGTTGTGGAGGATCCGGTCAGAAAGTATTAGAGAGATGGCAAGATTCTTCTCACTCATTATCACATAAAGCAGCACTGCCCTCTTTACATTCACATCCGTCAGGTTTGTAGAAGGGATCACTGTAGAATTGTTGAACTGATACCAGAATGCAACCTCTCCAGTCAAAGCATGCTTTACCATCTTTTCTGGCACATGGTCTAAACCTGCTTTTGTAATCCAAGATGAGTAGAAGCCAGTGATCCCTCTTCTAACCCTATCTGCCACCTCAGGCATATCTTCCCTGTATAAATTTCGAGTGGCGGTAGGCTGAAGTTTATTAAAAATGGAGGTGAACCGGCAAGCATCTTTATCATCATAAGATGTCTTCAGAAAGGCTTCAATATCTTCAGCTGAAAAAGGGGACCTCTTTTCCTCTAACCCAGCTCACTCGGACAGATTCAATCCTATCCTTATCCATATTGGCACAGAACTTCTTCAGAATGGCACTGGAGCTAGGTGTTGCAAATGTGGCCAATGTCTCCCATTTTCTACTTTTAATCAAGGCCAAAAGGGAGCTGGTCTCAGGAAATGTCTCCAAGGTGATTGATCTCTCAAGGATCACTTTCTTAGGCATGAACCATTGGTCATACCGCTGTTGATGCTCCGCGGAAAGGAATCGGTCTTCATCAAAATCGGATGAAGCTCTCGGCCGCTTGCTACCAGATGTAGCAGTGCCCTTAACTATGCCCTTGGTTCCTGCCTTTGTACCCTTTTTAGTTAGCTTTCCCTTGTCTCCTGCCATGGTTGAAATCGTGACTTGGAATCCTTAAGGTGTAGTGACAGTGGTCAAGCCCAAAACAAAATGTGCAACCCTAGCTCTAACCCCACGGTGGTGATTAAGGTTTTCACGGTGAGAGAATATGTGTGAGGGAAGGAAGAAGAGAAGGGGGACAATGGTATAGGTTTGCGGCTAGTGATGGTGGTCGGCGGTTTGGTGTAGAGAGGGAGAGATGGTGACCGGTTGTTATGGTGGTTAGGTGTGGTGGTGAGGAGAGGTGAGAGAGAGAGAGAGATGGAGAGGGAAAGAAAGAGAGTGGGGCAGTGAGTGTGGAGTGAGTTAAGTGGGGGTTGGGCTCTTAGGGTTAGGTTTAGTTTCAAATTTGAATTACCTCTAAAATCGCCAGCGCCAATCGCGCCAATCTCACGCGAAACGCGCGGTGAGGCAGGAATGGGGAAAAATCTCACGCGAATAGCGTGATTCTCATACGATTAGCTTGAAAGGGAATTATGGCGCTGATCGCGCCCCATTCACGCGGATAGCGCGACAAGACAGTGAGTTCACCCTTTTTCCACACTATTAGTGCGGGTTCCACACGGTTGGCGTGGGATGGATCCTAGTGGCGCTGTTAGCGCCATGTTCACGCCATTCGCGTGGTCAAACAGTAAGCTCAAGGATTTATTTGATTCATCTGGTGCGGATCGTGCCACTACCACGCGATTCGCGTGAATTCTCTTTTTAAATGGATTTGGACTCAGAATTTATGTGACATTCACTTAATGTTGTGAGTATGGACTTGTGACTATACCTCCTTACCAATTACCTCATGACTCTAAAAAAATAAAATGAAAGACTCAATACTCTTGGGTTGCCTCCCAAGAAGCGCTTGTTTAACGTCGCGAGTCTGACGAGAACAATTTAAGCTTCAGGTGAAGCCAAAGGGACTGAAACTGTGTCCCTACTTACTTGTTCTCCATGATATAATTTCAATCTACACCCATTGAATTTAAAAGGTCTTTTAGCATTGAGAGGTGAGATTTCAATAGTACCATATGGAAACACTATCTTAACAATAAAGGGACCAGACCAATAAGATTTGAGCTTACCTGGAAACAACCTCAGTCGAGAGTCGTATAGTAATACCTGTTGTCCTGGCTCAAACTCTTTCGGTTGGATCTTCTTGTCATGCCACTTCTTTGTTTTCTCTTTATAAATCCTGGAATTTTCATATGCTGCTAACCTGAACTCAACAAGCTTATTTAGTTGCAGTAATCTTTTATCATTAGCCTTTGATGGTTCAAAATTGAAGAATTTAACAGCCCACAAAGCCTTATGTTCTAACTCTACAAGAAGATGGCAAGACTTACCGTACACCAATTGGAATGGTGACATACCTATTGGTGTTTTGAAAGCTGTCCTGTATGCCCAAAGTGCATCATCCAGTTTCTTGGCCCAATCCTTCCTTGAGTTGCCTACAGTCTTTTCCTGAATCCTCTTCAGCCCTCTGTTTGAAATTTCTACTTGTCCACTGGTTATGTCCACTTGTCTACTTTTCCAGGTGTGGACAAGATTCTCCAATACCTGAAAGGCACACCAGGAAGAGGACTATTGTTCTAGAGAGGAGGAAATCTCTCCTTAGCGGTTTGTACAGATGCTGATTATGCTGGATCTGTGACTGAAAGACAATATGCTTCGGGCTACTGTATGTTTCTCTGTGGAAATTTAATAACATAGAGGAGTAAAAAGCAAAATGTGGTTGCTGGATCAAGTGTAGAAGCAGAATTTCGGGCCATGGCTCAAGGGATCTGTGAGTTATTATGGTTGAAAATCGTTCTTCATGATCTCAAGGTGAAATATGAAGGATCTATGAAGTTATTCTGAGATAACAAGCCAGCCATCTGTATAGCCCACAATCCAGTCCAACACGATCAAACCAAGCATATTGAGATTGATCGCCACTTCATCAAAGAGAAACTCGATAGTGGCCTGATTACTACTCCATATATCCCTTATGGTCGTTAATTGGCTGATGTATTGACTAAGGGTCTACCTAATGATAGGTTTCAAGAGCTTACTAGCAAGTTGGGAATGATAAATATCCATTCCTCAGCTTGAAGGGGAGTATTGTAAATATTAGAATTTTATTTATTTATTTGTATTAGCTAGAATACTCTAGAAGTGTACTTTGGGCTTAGCCCATTAGGTCTTTCAGCACTCTTTAAATAGAGAGCTTTTGTACAGATATTATACGATTCAATAATATACAAATCTTATTTTCTAGTCAAAATGAACAGATACTAGCTGAAGGAGCTCAGGTGAACCTAACTCAACGTGTTTAAAACTCACAGAAGTTTGGTTCTGACAAGGACGAAGACTTTGTTTTTGAAACCAGAAACCAGAGTCAAAAAGAGCATCAACGTTTTGGCTACTTCAATACTGCAAACGGCTAAAACAGAGGAAGAGGTCGTGCTGGTATGCAATCTAATCGAGGAAGAGGAAGAGGCAATAGAACAAAAGTACATTGTCAACTTTGCTACAAGTTTGGCCATGATGTTAGAGATTACTGGTACTGTTTTGAAGAGAATTTTGTTCCAAGTCTGCCTCCACCACAAAACACTTCATATCCACAATATTTTGTTCAACAACAGTCTCAACCAATAAGATCCTTTCAGTATGTAAGACCTCAGAATCAGCCTTGAGCTTATGTTACAGTCCCTTCCATCCTGCCATCTATATCCACCTTTGCTTCTTTGGTTGACTGGTTACCATATTCTGGAGTTTCGAATCATGTTACTGGAACACCTCAAAATATTGTTCAAGGCCAGAAACTCAATGGTACTCGGCAACTTGAAAGAGAAAGAAAGATGGTTGAGAACAATGAAAATGAAGGAAGACCACCACCACCTAGACCCACCCTTAAAGCACTGGCTACTCTATCTAGGAATAGACCAGAAAGAGGAATCATAGTTCCTCAAATTACTGCCCACAACTTCGAGCTTAAATATATCATGTTTACATGATTAGGGATGCTGGAGTTTTCAATAGACTTCTCAGTGAAGATCCATATGCTCACCTCACTAATTTTATGGACATCTGTGATAATTTTAAAGCAGATGGTATAACTGAGAATGAGGTTGTTCCCTTATTCTCTGGGCTCAAAGGCTAGGAATTGGCTGAAGACCCTTCCTTCTAATACTATATATTCGTGGGAGGAATTCTCTAACAAGTTCATAGAGAGGTTCCTTCCCATGTCTCACATGGAGAAAATCTCTACGAGGCATGGGAACGATACAATACAAGAACAAGATCAAGAAATGTCCTTGTATCCCCATGGTGGAGGCAGGTTTGGGAAAAAGTCATCTTTGAATCTATGTCAACATGACCTTACATCATGTCCATACTTGAAACACAACTAGCAGTGAACATTTATCTATTTCCTCTTCCTTTTCCATATGAGTTTCTACCTCCAGTACATCCTCTTCCTCTGTTAACAAAGGTAATCTGTTGTGTAACTTTGTTATTTTGAGCATCATCATCAGCTACATTTTGTTTCTGAAAGTTCTGAGCTTCATGGCTCAGATTTACAGTTGACACTTCAGATAACGAGGACTCATGTTTTTTGAGCAACAATTGCTCATGTGCAAGGAAGCTACATTCCAAGATTCGCAACAGTGTAAGGGCATTCTCTGCCATGAACAAGCATGATGAATGGAGTATAATTAGAAGATAATCCATAGAGAATCATTTATGTGTGCTCCTCGGTTGAAACATGATTTCCTATGGTTTTCATATAATCACACAATGTTTTGATTCGAGTGAGGTATTCCTTCATAGATCGTGTACCTTTCTTCATCGTCTGTAACTCAAATCTAAGTTGCATGACCTTTGATTTCATCATACCTTGAAATAACATGTGTATGTTTTCCCAGGCTTCAAAGGAATGTTTCACAAGTATATCGTTCACTGTTTGTTCTGAAATTGATGAAAGAAGCTAGGTAAGGAGCATTTGATCTTGTGTATGCCATTCCAGATTGGTAGAACTTTGGTTATTGCTGTAGCGATCTTTATCAAAGGCAAAACTGATATGGAATCTTCGTATTTACCAAAAAATATTTGCAATTGATGCATTGTGATCACTGGTTCGATGATTTGCTTCCAAAAAAGAAAGTTTTCTTCAATTAATTTTGCTGAGATTTGAAGATTAAATAGAGAAGGAAGAGATTTTGCTTCCATCGAAGTGTCTCAAGACATGCACAAGCTGTTGAAGTTGCTAGGATCTAAATGAGAGGTATTAGAGTTATTTGGAGCTGAAGCGAAAGCCACGAATGTGACCTAAAGTGGCTCGGGTCCTCAGAAGGAGGGCACTGATACCATATTAGGTTTAAGTGAGGTCATGGTGAGAGAGAAAAGAAAGATGAAGAGAAGAGATATCATAAGAGTTTTTCTATTATTGATATTCTAAGGATTTACAAGTACAAACAAATATATAAAGGAGATAGTGGCTAATATAACACCTCATGTAATTGAAATTACATTATTATTATTGAATTGTGGATTAGAGGGCTTAATTGGTGAAAATCCTGAATTATGGGTGAAAATACATTCGAAGGGCAAATGGTAATTTGACAATTTCTGAACCCTAAAATTATGAAATGATAATTAGACATTATTTGGTGACAAATAATGTTGGAGTTGGATTCAGAACGAAATTTGAAAGTGGATAGGAATTTTTCTAGAAAGTTGATGAATAATAATTTTTAGTGGATGGAATATCGCAGTATAATTTTTCTTAGAGGCTCAAAAATCATATTAATATTCTAGGAATGGATATATGTTGAAATAAGTGTTCAGAACTAAGAGAAATAATTATTTAAATTATTTCAGGAATTTTGATGATTTTGGAAAAATACAGTTAGTTTGAGTATATAGGCAAAAGTGGAATTATGTAAAAATTGCCCGGATCTTTTAAACATTGTATTATGACATTATTAAACTATAATTATGCGTATTGAATTTATGAAAATACCTAAGTCTTGAAATTAATTGAGATTTCAAGAAGATTAATTAAGTAAATTGAATTTAGATATTTTAAAAACTTTTTTAAAAAGTCGAAAAAGGCAGCTTATTCTAATTGGTCTTGAAATTGGCCATAAAAGCTTGTCTTCTTCCTTCCTTTAGCTTGTCTTGGCCGAACCTTCATTGGAGAAAGAGCTTGATTTGCAACTTTTTGTTTTGACACCGAATCAAGAGAGTTACAACATGAATCTTTTGGTAATCAAAAATCCTAAAAGAATTTCTTGAGAAAGTGAGTGTGAGAGGAGTTCTGTGAGCTTGAAGATGGAGATTTTGTGAGGTGATATTAGCCATTATTGATGATTTTTTTTTGCTTGGAAGCTTGTATATTAATCTCTGAAAACCTAGGAATCCATTGGTGGTAAAATTTCTCAATTTCACCTAGTCTTTCTTATGGATCGAAATTTTATACGTAATATGATGTCTATGTTGGTGAGCATGGTTAAAGAGGTTTTATGGCTATGTTCCTTTGAAATTTATTGTTCGTACGGATGAATAATTAGTATAAATGCAATAAAAATTTAAGTGATTTTGGTGTCAATACTCAGAAAATTTTTCAAGGATGAAAGAATAATGTCTTGTGAAGGAAGTCTTTGATGGATGATGTAATTGATTGGTGGTTGTTTAAATCATGAATTATGAAGTTTAAAAAGAATTTTAAGCTTGTGAATTGGTTGAAAAATCCTTAGATTTCATGGATGCACACATTTGACCATATTGGAAAATTTAGGGAAAATGATGTAAATTGTGTTGTGGCTTGATGGAAGGTATGTCAATATATTGGTGATTTGGTTGGTAAGGTCATTGAAGTTATGGAATTGGTTAGAAAGAATTAAGGACACAATGAGGCATTTGAAAGCCTTAAAATTGTGGGCTAATGTGTTTATGTGAGGGTTACTATTTTGTAATTTGCTTGTGTATTCTCAAGCATGTGATTGATCATATTTTGCTTGTGGAACTTGTTACAAGTAAACTTCTGTGTGTCATGGGGTTAGTCCCTTTGTGTGCTCCGCCATGTCCTTTGAGAATGGTTGGTTGGATTTGTAATCTTTGATAATGTGTGATAGGGTATGATCATGCATTTTTACTTGATGTTTGACATGCATTTTGACATGTTGTTTGGTATATGTTTTGATATACATGTATTCTTGACTAGTATATATTTTGATATACTAGTATCTCTGGTCAGTAGATAGATATTGTATGGACTTCCACCAGATAGGTCTCTAGGTAGGGAGTTCCGGTTAGCATGGTTTCTTAGAGTTGTTAAAGCTCTAGGAATATCTCGGGAGTTGTGTAATGGGATCCTTACATAAATCCTTATTGGGTTGTTCTTGGATGTTTGCCTAGTGACGGCATCTTTGAGCAATAGTTCTTGGATGTTTGCCCGATGATAGTTGTGATTGGGATCCATGAGTAGTAGTTCTTGGATGTCTGCCCAGTGATTGATGTAATTTTGTATGTTATAATGTACATTTGTTATCAGTGCATGCACAAGTGGAGTGACCATCCCGGACCCGTAGTTTACTGAGATTGTCAAATCTCACCCCGCGTTATGGGGCATTATTTTCAGATACCACTAGTGCTGTTGGAGAAGCCTTGGGCAAGAAGCATACTTAGTGTGAACATGAACATATGGAGTATTTTAACATGTACATAGGAGTGCATGATGATTTACTTGGTATTTTGACATATTATTTTGATGCACAAGGTAGTTGCT